GGGGAGGGTCTTGGGGGTGTGACACCTTCAGTTTTTGGAAAATCGTCGGTAAAGTACGTTTGAAAATGGTCGATAAATTTATACAATCGTCGGTGAACTGACATATACCGACTAAAACGTTCGGGAAAATTATGAACGACATGTTTGCACTCGTGAAATTTTTAAGACGCAGTTGCCATTACATGATTCTAAACCACCACCCCCCCCCCGCTCGCCAGGGTTTTTTTGGTTGTTTTTTTTTTGCACTATGTACTATTTTGCAAAATTATGCGGAATTAGTACCCTCGCGCGGCGCTTCGCGCCGTCGGCTCGGGGATTAGATCAGTGGTTGCTCTCCACAGGTCGTTAGTTGATTCATTAGGAGAACATTTTAAAGCTTTTCGGAGGACTGTTTGACACTGGATAAATTTTAATAATAATAATAATAATAATAATAATAATAATAATAATGATCATGATGATGATCATGATGATGATCATGATGATGATCATGATGATGATCATGATGATCATGATGATGATCACGATGATGATCACGATGATGATCATGATGATGATCATGATGATGATCATGATCATGATCATGATGATCATGATCATGGTGGTGGTGGTGGTGATGATGGTGATGATGATGATAATGATAATGATAATATTATAATTATAATTATTTCAATTAAATCAGGAAAATAGAAACAGTTCACTATATTAGACAGATAGGTCCATTCTCTACACTTTATATCAATAGTAGCTAATAAAAATTCAGTAAGTCTGGGTTATTCCAAGGCTTGTTTCTTCTGCAGTAAATGTAGAATGTTGCTCTCAGAGCTGCCTCCATACATTTTTTAATAATACGTTCGTCGTTCATTTCAAGTGTTCGTAATAATCTACGAAATCTGTCAATATCTTTCGACACAAACCCTAGAGTGGTTACTTCAAGTGTAATAACTTCAAACGCATAACACGTCGTGATCAGCTCAGATCTTAGATGTCTGTATCTTTCTTTCTCGCGACGTTTAGCCTTCGTACAATTGGTTTCGTAGGGAACAGTTAATTCAGCCACATATACAGAACCCTTAAAATCCACCACTATATCAGGTCTTAGCGTTCGAAATAAAGTTGAAGTACACGTCGTACCTGAATTAGGACAGTCCGCAAACAGTCGAAGATCTGCA